TTGTGGTGAGCCACTGTTGGTTTTTTTTATCACTTGCTTTCCTTGGTTTTGTTTTTCTTTGTTTCCTTCTTTTACTTACTAAACTGTCTCTACTTCAACCCATGAGTTTTCTCACTTTCACCCTTCCGATTCTCCCCCACGTGCCACTGTGAGGGGAGTGAGTGAGCACCTCTGAGGGGCTGAGCTGCTCATTGAATTTAACTGAATTCAGTTAAAACCACAGGAATACTCCACCAGTTTTAAATACACTCATAAGCAATACATTTTATCCCAATAAATACATTTTGTACTTAAGAGCAATGCTGTACTACTTTTAGAAGGGGAGTTATCGTCAGCTAGCAACTGGATGACTTTTCAGTCAGTGTATCTGAAATTTAGTAGGAGACATCAGTGTTCCATATTTATTCAGGAAGGCAAAGAAGTGAACCAAACTTCTCCCAATTTCCAACTTCCACTCAGCCTTGCAATTTGAAATAAACTAATTAAATTGGCCATAGAAAGAATGAAAACTGAAATAAAGACAACATGTTCTGGAACCTGTAGAAGAAGGTACTGACATCAACAGCTGGTTTATCACATCAACAATGTATGTTTCCAACTGCTTTACTAGTGACTTCTCTCAAGCCAAGATTAACTTTTCTTAAACTTCAGCAGTCATCATATATAATTTGAATATTATTAGCATTTTATTTAAGTAATTTAAAAAAGTGATTGCTTACTTTTAAAAAAACCGAATATATATACAATTTGAGGTATCAATTACAAGATTTTTCTCCTACCATGCTTTCTGCAGTAGTGTTAAAAACATTTTTCCAGTGTATACTGGAAATTGGTTTCATTCTGCTATTCGTCAATAAATATCTCTCTCTCATTACCTTTCAGTTAGGGGGTAAAATTATATCTGCTGAGAAAATAATTCTAAATTATCTCCTTAGTGAAAATCTGCAAATACTTCACAACATGGTAGGCTACTAAAGGACACATCTTTTCAACAAAGGAAGCAGGGGCCACCAACCACATACCTAGCTAATATCACGTTAACATTAACAGAAAGTAAGAACCAGGTGTCCTGAGAAGCAAGATGTCTTCTCCATATTGCACCAGTACTACTGTAGAGGGAGAGTATTGGCAAGGCACAGAAGTGGCAGAACCAGATAAAAAAGAAATAAAGAGTCCCTGTTTTCTAGCATTTGGGAAAGTCATAATGTAGATTGGTAAACAACACAAAACCTACAGAAATAAGCGCAGACAGGCAGGCAGTCTCACAGGTGCAGTAACATGAAGGGAAGCTGGTGGGCCTGCTGGACAAGGAAGGGGATGATGCTGTGGCACAGCATACTTAACAGTGGGTCAGAGTTAGGAAGAGGGAGCCAGAATTTTTCCGATTTTTATTTTTTTGCCTAAGTTTCCTTTCTGAGCAAACATCACTGCTGAGGGAAAATAAGTCTATCTGCTAATTTTGAATGGTAAGATGCCCTTCTTCTGTGTCTGGGCCATGGTATAATTCCTAAAGCAGGCAGGCACAGGCTTATAGGCACAGTGATGAAAAAAATGGAGAGATATTTTCTATATCTATAAAAGAGATACTGAAAACTGAGGGAAAGATACCTTTTAATGAGTCTTTTCAATTTTACTAAGAATGTAATTGTACAGAAGATTTCAAGTGGCTAACACATAGCCGGACTTCAGGAAAACAAATGGGCCGCGTACTTTCAATAGAGAGGCACCACTAACACAGGCATGTACAGATGATGCTGTGCATTTCTGTAATGTGACGTTCTGCCATGAAGAATTCCTGTCATATCTGCACTCGAGCAGAGCAGAGCGCATTACTGTTTTCTTCCTGGCAAGCTGTGGCAGCTCCTGCTTTGCACAGTTTCCTGAATGACTGCATTAATTTGATTGACTCCAGATCAATGGTGTCTCTAAATAAGATTAAATTACACATTCCTTCTGCCTGTGTGCTATAGGAGATTACTCTTAGCAGAATCTCAAAGGAAGCAATTAGCTGACCACTGATGTAATGAATCCTAATTATTTTGTTTGTACAAACAATAAAGCCAGAATCATTTGTTTAGCAAAGAAGTGTAATGACTCTGAGCACTCGAGAAAATAAATTGAACAGTGCTACCTAGACCTGTAAATAAGGGGCCTTTGACTTCCTATTTATGCTAAGAATGCTCATGGAATATTTTCAGGTAGCTGGGAGCCAACCTTTGAAAGTAACATTTATCATAGTTATTACTGAGCATTTGCTTATGTCCTCGGGTGTGCTAGGTGCCCTGCAGAAATATCCATCTACATTGCTCTGTCATTGGCACCTGCTAAAAATTCACTGCAGCCAGTACAATTTCCTGCAACTGTTTTTTGTTAATCAACAAGAAGTCGCTCACATTGCAATCACTGCTGTTCCTAAGGGCACCAGTGGCTGGGGCATGTCCTCAGCAAAGAATGAATGATCAGAAAAAAAGCACATTAATATACATGTAGCAGTCTCTACTCTGCCCAGCATTTGGCCATGCAGGCTAGAAATGTAATGAAAACAGAAGGCACTGGAATGAGACTGGCTGCAGCTGGGTCTTCCCCTTCTCCAAGTTGATCTGCTGCTGCTGCAAACAGCTCAAACAGGAGAGACAAGCAGAGTCACTGGGGACCTCATGTTGCAGAAAGCAGAGAGATCAGTCCAAAAATAGCTGAAATTCTGCCACCACTGCTGATTTTGTGTGACCCAAAAGCATAAGGGAGCTGACAAATTAGAGATAACCTGATCCCATTGCTTGCAGACTCACTGGATGTTGCAAGTACAGTGATGCAACCCCCAACCATGTGTACTTTCTGCAGGTATTAACTCCCAAGATTAGCCATTCTCTCAGAGTAGTTGGTTTCCTTCACCATGGTTTTGAAAGGATATTCAAAACATACAAAAATATTTTGCCTAATCTTTCTTTCATTTCTAGCCATACTTTAGGTGTTAAATCTGAATTTAAAATAAACTCCAAAGCCACAATTCTGCAGCTGATTTGCTTTTCACCTTCTCTCAACCTGAACAGTGATGCTCCCAAAGGGGATCAACATTATTTTCTCGTTCTCTTAAGTGGTGCTCAACAATCTTATGGGAACACAGGCTCACATCCCGATAAAAGCCTTAGCCTGAATGAAAAAAAGACACCTCTGCCTACAGTACTTGGATTCTCATTGTAGTGACACTGTTTACATATAGAATGAAGGCTCTGAAGTCAGCAAAATCACACTGAAGTGAGCAAGGTGTTAAGTTACTGCAACTTTCATACTAGCTGAAGGGAAACTGCAAATTACTTGGTGCAATGGGAGCCATTTCCTTCATGCTTATGAGGTATTTCAGTTCTTCATTCCTTCCCACCCTGAGCTGTTTCTCTTTGTTTGTGTTTAGTAGCTATTTAAAACTCATCAAATGCTTTTTTGGTGCTCTTGCTGTAGGCCTAATTGACAAATGTTTGCTGCCTGCCATTATGTTATTCCAGTATCCTTGAAAATTAACTGAAGACTTTAGTCTCCTTTGGAGAAATTAAGGGGCAATAAATACCACCTACCCCAAGGCAGGTGGGACAGATGAATTAAAAAATGGTATCTAATTGTGCAGTGGAGATGTGCTTATGCCTAAAGCTTTTGGTTCCTCCCCCCCCCCCAAATGACCCAAAAGCAGAAAATTCTTTTGTTGGTCTTCTGGAATATCCCTTTAATCCTCTTCTATGGAAAAGCAGCACTACTAATGTTTGGCTGCCTCTACACCAAGTATTAAAATGTCATACTGTTTTTCCAGCCTGAAAAATTCTGGTGACCTTACTGGATGACCAACAGTACCGAACAATTAATGCTAAACCAGACAGGCAAGAACAGAAACTCTTTGGGGGTTTTCAGGAAGGCTGAACTGTGGCCAAAACTATTCAAGGGATGTGTGAAAACTACCTTAAATTGGTTAGCATTTTGCTGGGGAAAAAATATTGGAGGTGCTACTCCACATTTGAATACCAGAGGAATATCTCATTGGAATGAGCAAAGTCTTGATTTCTGGCCATACTAGAAGTGCACTATACTGCACCCTTTAAACATTGGTCTCTTCTAAAGAGACGTTGCAACAGGAGAAATCAAGGGTTTGATTTAGCTTAAGATGATGATATGATTATGTTCCTGCAACATGTTATTCATCCAATCTACTCTGTGTTGGGCAAATAAAGCCTTATTCTATTCCTTCTGAAAACAAACAGAAAGTGAGGTGACAGTACAAAGTAGAAGCTAACAGTGTCTATAAACAAAGTAAATTGTGACAGAGAGAAACGACTCAGTTCAACACTGCTCAGGTCAACAGAAAAACTCGCTGACTTTATGAAAACGGGATCAGAAATGCTGCTTGGGTTTAATAAGACACTTGCAGCATTTGGGTTTTTTTAAGCTTCTCGTTATCGTCTCCTGTACTGCTTCTGTTTCTTATGTCATCACTTCCAAAAGAAAATCCTTCACAGGAGGAATTCTGCTGCTTAGAATAAGGATTAGTCTAATAACATTAGATAAATCTGTTTACTTTCTCTGTTTTTCTGCATTAGAAAGAAGGTGGGCTGAATGATCCGAAGCAATTTTTTCAGAAGTGTCTAAAGAATTGGAAGTCTCGTTTTCAAAATTATTTAATGCACTTGGCGCCTAAATCCTTTAGAGAGAGATTTGGGCTTTTCCTTAGGCTATTTTGAAAAATGAATTAAGTTCATGTAGATGTACAAAAACAGAGTTCCCCTACTCTCCTAGGAGACGGATATTTAGCTTCTAGAGATGCACTAAGCATAGCTCAAGAGTAAAAACTCTGTAATATTTTTCATTTTAAAATCTGGAGAAAATAAACCTCTTAAAGAAGAGAGGCTCTTAATAAGCAAATTGATCTCAAGAATATTTAGAAAAGTTTAATTTAAAATAATTATCTGCAAAATGTCTGATCAAACATGTTTTAGCTTAATGATAGGAAACTGTCATACCTTTCTGAATCTGTCTGGTTCTTCTGAAGATTCAGGACTCTGTTTAAAAGAAAAAAAAAAAAGCAGCATGAACTTAAGATCCTAGTGGAGAGTGGAGCCTACAAATAAGTATTCACCTGTCGGCAGATGTTTCTTTCAAATGGTCATCTGGATAGAGTGAACCAGGAGGAGATTCTTTTTTAATGAGCTTTTTAACACACATTAGGCAGAAAGCTGAAATGTTTGACCATTTGAATCAGATGAGCCGTTCTCCCAGCAATAGCTTTGACTTTACTGACACCTATTGACTATATTTATGCTTACACAAGGTTTTGGTCAACAAAGCATATCATTACAATCAATGGCAAACAATTCTTAGAAATATGTTCTTTATTAATAAAGGTCATGCTTACCTTCCAGGCACTTCAAAGTATTTGTATTCTAAGTAAGCTTTGGATTTGAAGACAAGGTTTCCCAAAGCAGAAAATTTTCAGGTGCCTCAAATTTTAGGTGTTCGAGTTCAGATACCTTTCAAAGCACTTGCATATAGAAAGTACTGTAAAGTCTAATCCTCCGATTCAGGTATGTTGAAGTTGAACACATAATATAAGTAGTTAAGCCAGAAAAATCTTAATTATCTATGTTGACACTAAGAACATGGGAATATCTTTAGCATGCTCTGGAATATGTTATACATGGAGATGAATTCTGCCATCCTTAGCATGTCTTTTATACATAAGAACTCGGTAACTTCTTTAATCATTTGGTTCTTGCATTAAAATACCTCCTCTTTATTTCATTCCAAATCCTTGGCCTGTAAAGACAATTCCAAAAAAGACTAGGTCCTTCTGTGCACAGTTACTTTCTGAGTCCATTCAGTCAGTGGCTATTCTGATCACTCTGTTGCACAACAGGAGACACAAATAATGAACAGTAAATATATTCTTAACTGCAGGACCTCTTAAAAAAATAATTCAGTGGAGAACTTTGTGTGGAAAAAGGGCAAAAAACTAGAAATCCATGCGCCCAGAAGTAGGTGTATATCCAGAATACTCACACACACAAACATCTCACAGTCCCCAACTGGGTGCATCTTTGACAACAGCCAATCGTCATTCTGTTTTGAACCTTGCATTTTAAGAAGTATTCTGAGCACTGCTTACAAAGGAAAAAAGATAGCGCACAACTCTTATTTTAATACAAGAATATTTCTGCTTATATTTATGAATACGTGGCTATGTTTGTTCTATCTTGGATGGCACTTACTAAGGGAGGTTTTGGTTAAGCAGACACTCACACATACTGTTGAATTATGACTAGCAATATGAAGCAATCTAAAAGAGCAATGGCAGAGATCAGTGACTGTGAATTGAGTGTTGTCACCTACCAGTGAACTCATGGACTCTTTCAGCATAGATTTGTAGAGCATCCATCGGTAACGCAGGTCCTCCAGATCTTCAGAGTTTCCAATAACAGAATGAAGATGAAGAAGGTCCTCAAAGAGACGCTGACCATCAGGCACACGAGACTGCAGCTCCTGCAGGGAAAGACAAGGTCAGCAGCAGCTCAGAATTCAAGAAGACCCCACTTTTTAAATCTAGAATTCGGAAGAACAGTGGTACGAAAACAAACTACTGGGTGCTCTGGAATAGTGCATTTATTTTTGTTATCACTTTTTTGGCCTGAAATTATATTAAAGGGTCCACTCATTTGCAGGACTCCTGTAGCCTTGGATATTTCTGTTTGTTTACTTTCTTACAGCATCCATTGTCATTGCATCTGGCCATATTCAACAGAAAGAAAAAGAATGAGGCCAAATACCAGACACTGATTTTAATCAGCTTCTTTTAATGAACACCTTTGCCATACCACACTGGAAACGTCCAGTCTGACAGCTAGATGCCAGGGTGCTCCTTTCCATTCTACCTCTCTGGCTGTGGCAGACCTTTCTTAGTAGAAGGGGTGAAATACTTGTCCTAAATTCCAGAGCTTCATCTACTCTAAAGTGTCCTAAAGCAGAGAGTCTAGTGTTTGAGGTTGGGTTGTTTGGGGTTTTTTTTTTTCATTTTTAGGGTTTTTTTGGTTTGGTTGGGGGCGGGGTTGTTTGGTTTGAGGGGGGTGGGTTGTTGGTTGGTTATGGGGGGGTGTGTGGTTTTTTTGTTTGTTTGGTTTTTAATTCTGAAAGAATTTGCACTTATTGCGACTTTGTCTCCATCTTCATCTCCTGAAAACTAACCTCCAGTTTGCTCTGGCGTGCCTTAATTTCCTCTGGGGAAGCTGAAGTCACAGCAAGAATTTTGGTCAGTTTGGTGTTTTCTCCTTGTAACCATTCTTCAAAGTCGTGTAGGAGCTTCAAGTAGCTGCTTGTATTTTGCCCTTCTCCTATCCTCTCCTAGGTTGCAAAACAACAAGAACAAAAAAATCCTTTGCTGTTATGTCAGTTGATTCCTCTGAAGGCCTGACTGCAAGATCTTAACCTCCAACTTTGTAACCCGTAATAGCAGATGAAGCCAGTAAAATTGTTCTTGTGAAGCTCAATATGAAGGCAGATATGGAGTCTCCCTCTCACCTGCTTGTGGTTGGGATCTACATCTAAAAGACGGAAGGCAGGTCCAGACATCCATCTGCTGTCCACAAATGCTATTTTCTTCTTATCAGTCACTGGTCTATTTAACTGCCACTTTTTGAGAAGACTTGAAAACACAAAACCAGAGACATCAGTGCAGTGAAACATATAATGATGAGACATTCACATTTTGACCAGGGTTATGGGGGACACCTCTGGTGAAATATTATTATTATACTATTATTACTATTAATAGCACTATAAATATTAAAGTTATTTCCAACATCTTTTTAACAAAATAAGATCAAGACAGGAGTATCTCAAAGTAGCACCAGTCCTCTAGTTCTAACATTTCCAAGTGTTTTGTTTTCTTTTATTCAGGGGAGTGAGGGACCAAAAAAAAATACTACCTTGACAATATACCTTCTAGTCTGGTAACAGCAGGCAGTACAATCAAGTGTTCCTCAGTTTAGTCATTCCATTTTTATGCCTATTCTGACACCAAGTACGAATATACTCACACACGTAGCACAGTATTACATTTTAATACAGACTAGCAAATATGAGCAGCAGTTTGACACTGCACAGTGAGGGCAAAACAAATTAAGTCCACATTTGCCAGCTAAGAGAGGATTTTAGCTCTGTTTATACACTTGCAGGTTTGCAAAAGGCACAAATCCCAGTGCAGATATAGACTCTTTGGAGATATCTCCAGATCAGACAGTGAGGAGAACAGGAAGGTGAGGCAGAACAGCAGAAATCACCCAGTCTATGTCCTGTTTCCTCTGATACGGACTGGCAGTACAATGGTGAGCCAGGTCCTAAGGAGACACTGCCTACTCCAAGCGTGAGGTAAAGGCAGCTTCATAGACTGCTCTGGTCCTCGGATTCTCTAAAATGGTTTTCTTGAAAGTAAAGATTCCCAGTTTACAAATTATTAAAATCTCATCTGCTCCCAGCATTGTAATACAGCTGTTCACTTTCACAGCACATAGCTTAAAGCATCAAGTGTGTCTGGTCATACAGAAGTAAAGAGCATCCCCTTGAAGGGACATGAGGAAGATGTACACGAACACTTACCCAGTTGCCATCTCCTTTAGTGATCTCCAGGACTCCTTCAGCTGATCCAGCTCTGCTTGGACATGAGCAGTCTCCTCTGGAGAAGAATTCTCCATGACCAGCTGGCCATGAGCTTCCACAAGGTGCAGCTGGATCTCCTTATCTGGAAACTCAGCTAGCCATCTCTGAAACGTACAGTCCTTACAGTTACTTCTACGTATCCTGGGTAAAGCAGAGGCTATGTCAGACTGAAGGCCATGTTCAGTCCAGGACTATGCTGGTTCTGTTGGCACTAGCTAGAACATACCTAGCAGGAAAAAAAATACGCTGTGGATTCTTGCAAAGAGCCAACATGGGTCAAAGAGCTGATGGAAAAACTTAAAGGGCACAAGCTGTCAATACACCCCTTCTGTAGCCTTCCCATGAGATATCTTGGTTTCCCATACAAAGGCAAAAACTGCCAGCTAAGTAACCTGCCAGAGTGAACCTCACATGCAAAATACTGCTACACAGGGAAAAGCTAGCAGCTCACAGCTGTGGAACAGCTCAGTTCAACACAGTATAAGGTTAGCTAACAGGGTAATAATGTTCAATGTATCAATGAGTACATACAGGCAAAGGTAGGTATTGTCCAGAGAGATCACCCTGGTGGGAAGAGCTCTTTTTAAAACCACTTATCCTTTGACAGTACTTTATCCATCTCAACAGTTCTTAGCCATTTCTCACTGTTCTTGTCTTTTACCTAGATCCACATCCTACAGCACAGGGCAAAGCAGGGAGGCAGCAGCAATCAACAGTTATTGCATGAGGAACAAACCATCATTACTCTCCCCAACCAGGAAAACCTTGCTAGAAAATCTCCGCCCTTATTGTCTGAATGCTGCAAAGTGAATAATTAACATCTTACATTAAGATGCTTTTCTCACCTCAAGGTCTGCCACCCTGCCCTCGGTGTTCTGCTCTCCATCAGCACCCTGGTAGGAGTCAATCCTGTCCGTGGTTACTGTGATCCACTGCTGGAGGTCAGAGAGTTTGTCATTATATGCCCAATGCTTCTGAACGTGCTCTTCACTCTGCTGTATCATCATCTACAAATGATAAAAATATGTCAGCAACTAAACACAGACAAAAAGCAGTTTCATTACTGGATCTAACACTGTGACTACTGGCACAGAATCTCATGGGCAAAAAGGAAAAAAACCATCTGTTAATGAGACAGAAAAAAACTATCCTTTAGCATCAGTGGCACAGAGAACACCTACAAGCTCCTGCAGGCCTGAATTCAGCCACATGGGGGGGCATTAAGCACTAGAGTAGCTCCCTCCCTTTTCAGCTGGAACAGAATAAAGAATATGGTTGGTTTTTTTATACACCAGTCAATATTAAATACATCTTATACTCCCTGAATCAGAAATGACTGTACAGACTTTTTTGGCAGAAGTCCAGTTCAGCGATAAATGGGGTTATTGAGATTGAAACTAGAATTCCACAGTGCATATTAGGGTAACACTTTATCATACATATTTTTATGGTGACCTGCATAACTAAGGTAATTTCATAATAATATCTTCTAAGACTGCTTTGGAGGTCCTTTTATAGCTATGTTTACAAGCTACAAAATGCCTCACTTCAAAACAAGTAATTATGCAATTGCAACACTTTTCTCTCATTAACTTTTAGGTCACAAAGCTATAAAAAACCCAAACAGTTTGATACAAAAACACTACCCAGGAATCTGTGAAGAAGTCCAAACACCTCCATGATAATGTAACTATGAGGTCTTTTGGTCAGAAATCTCAGGCCCACTCCAGAAATAACTTATATAGATATAAAATCTGTGTGGATGGTATCCTATCCCAAAGGGAAATCACATTACAGTTAATCAGAGAATCCCGGAAGTGTTATCAAAGTCTTAAGAATTCAGTGTTTTTTTCCCCTCAAAATATCTGTCACTCAAAGCATATAATCTCATATGCTCAAAGATTTTTTTTATATTTTTAAATAGTGGCAACTCACAACTCCTCAGGCAACTAAAAACTCTCCCTTATGTTACCTCCAATGATCTCTTTAGGGCCTGAGAGTCAGATGAAAGTTGATTCATTTCATGCCTGTGTGTGGTATTTGACTGAACAAGCTTCTCTACCTCCTCCATTTGAATCGCAAGCTCTGCCAAGTCATCTTGAATCATCTGCAGAGGAAAAGACAGATTCCATATGGGTAATGTGCTAGATGTGGCATGGACCCCCACAAAACATACACCAAAAGTATACACTAAAACACATTTGACAGCGTGAGGGAGAAAAAACCCCAAACCAAACAATCACTATCATTAAGAAAATTAATTTTTTTTATGTCTAGAAGTAAATGTTTCTGAAAGAAATGGTTGGATGTTCTTACATGCTACCAGTTGATAACAAAGAAGACAAGCTGCTGAAAAGCTGCCAGAGGAGATATACTATAGTTAGCTAAGTACTGCAAAGGACTATGATGATAACACCTCTGTGGTCACCAAGGGCGAAGTGGCTGAATCACCGTAGCTCACCATGGTGAAGAGTCACATCCCCTCTCTCTTCGCCTCCTGCTCTTCTCTCCCCTCTCCCAGCTATGTAGTCCCACTGCATGCCTTGAGCAGGCTCTACTGCATGTTGGACCCTTTGCCGAACCAGTTCCAAACACTAACCAAGTGGAAAGTGATCATCTTTTTCTGTTATTATTTTTTTCTTATCTCAGACAGCTGAATTAGCCTGGGGAGTAAATCCAGCACGTGTCAAAGCTGTGACAAGATAAAGAGCAGAAAGGGGGGGATGCAGGAGGAGGTGGGACAATGGAAACTCCCTGCTTTTGGAGGGAGTTCAATTGGTTCAGGTTGTCTTGTGCCATTTCACTCCTAGTGGGAAGCATCAGGATACATTTTCTTTAGCAATAAAACTAGCCCAAGAAGGTGTGGCACCAACAGCTTCCAGCTGCTTGTTCCTTCCCTCAAGCCCAGTCTGCCAGTTCTTCAGCTGCATTGCTTCAATTTCATCTACTCCATGCTATAAACTGGACCAAATGAAATTATCTAACACACAATCAATTGAGGGGACAAGGTACTGAATTCCTAATGTTAACAAAATATGAACAAACAAGACCACAATTAACTGAGGATATCATGGTCAAACATTACTGTAATGTACCTGCAGTCTCTGGAGTTGTGTTTTTTTACCCAAGAGGTCAGGCCGTGGTTCCTTCTCTAGATCTAATTTAGCTTTGATGGCAGTTAATTTCTTCTGTAAAGGTGTGAAACCAGCGTCAAAGTCCTTATGTTGTGATATCAAATTCTAGATGGAGAAAGAAGAAAAAAAGATCCAGCATTCAACATATATCCCTTGGCATCATCTTTTGTCAATGTCCATTTCATACTCAGAACAAACACCAAGCTACACTATGCAACAAACCACAAATTTATTTGAATATTTGATCAACCTAGGAAAAGGGATTGGGCACAGCTGGTTAGTAATAAATTTTTATCTATAAAACTGGCTTAGTAAAAGATTGATCATTGCCTTTGTCACAGGCAAAGACTGTATGCGGGCTTGAAAGCTTACCTGGAGTTTGCTCTTGCTTTGCAGCAGACTTTTATGTAGAATTTCCCTCTCCTTTGAAGCTTCAGCTACTTCCTGCAGGAAAGACTTTGCTTTTTCCTCACCAAGGACGTTATTTAGCAAATCTTTCTTCAGCTGTAGTGTCACCAACTTCTCTTTGAACTGGGAGCTTTCAGCTAGAGCAGCCTAAAGGAGAAAAATTCTTCCAGTGAAATCATACCAAAAAAAAAAAAAATCTTTTAACCATACTGTTCTCACACAAGTCACACAACAAAAGCAGTATGACAAATTCAGGTAAAAACAGCATGCTGGGCCGACAAGGGGTAACAGAAGGTACCTGGACAGTGCCCAGTTAAAGGAAAAGTCTTCCTGATAATGTTAGAAGCACCAGGACTGCATCCATTTTGTGAACAGAAATAGAGGAAAGCTGTACTATGGAAAGAGTTGTCTGTGCAGAGGAGAGGCCTAAACAACCAACAGAAAGGACAGCTTGAATGCTCATCCTCAGGATAGTCTATATCCCTGTTCACAGACACATTTATTCTGGAGATCACAGGGATGACAAAGTAACAAACACACCTTGCTGGGCACATGCAGAAATCATGCATTATAATCCCATGACTATATTAATACACACTTCTTAACAAGAGTCCACAGACTTCCCATCTAGGGAGATCTTGGCTAATGCTAAACAATATTATCATCATTGTTAAAGATACCTAGCACTTTAATTCAGCCTATTCAGTTGACAACTCCAATTAACCCAATGGAGGGCAGAAAATAAGACATTCTGCTACAGCTAGATGTAAGTATTGACCTCCATACTGGGGGGTTTCCTGCCATACTGGAAAGGCCCTTCCAGCTGCTGCAGGCAGCTGCTGGCATAGCTTGGACAAACACAAACCAAGTATCAGGTTCTGAACTCAGTAACAGGTTTGCTACCTCTATGTGAGCCAGCGCTGGCTCTGGAGTCTCCAGGATCATCTGGATCGATGGCTTCCACTGTTGAAATTCTTGCAGAGGATTTTGGAAGAGTTGCCTCAGTTGGGTTTCTGCATCAGCGCTCATTTTAGATGTCTTGCCTCTAACACTGCAAGGATAAAGTGACAGCCGAGAGAAGGATTACAAAGAAATCCAAGTCCAAACATCCTATTCATCAAGGCATGAATTAACACAATACTCGTGTGCAAACTGTATCCAACACAAAAGCCTCAGTCTTTTTTACTGTCTGAGCCTGGTGTTGCATACTGACAGCTGCTCAGAGACATCTGACAAAACTTTATTTAGATGCCGTAGACACATTTGTCTCTTGTGCAACTGTGTATCAGGAATTACTTTGCCTTTCTAGCAGCCAGCAGTCTCCCCTTGCATGTGATCTTTCTTGGCTTCTATCACCAGCATGATTTAACAAATCATATTATCACAGCAGTCACCCTGACTGATTGGAAGAATAAGCCAAGAGTGTCTAGAATTTAACTGCAGTTGCCTGTATTGTTTTACATATTACTGAGTCTTTGTTCCTTTAAAAAATTACATTAAGAAATCTTTGATCACACTCTGTTACCTACAAAAAGAGGAAAATACATATTTTTTTTCAGATATAAATTTATTTAATTTTGCAGAACTGCTTGTATTTATATTAACATACATAGGTGATTCTGATAAAAGCTTTCTGTTTTTATATATATGTATACACATACCTGCATAGCTACATACGTGTGTATATATATATATTTAAAAAAAAAAAAAAAAATCAGCACACATTCATTAAATATCCAGGCTTCTCTTACAAAGGCTTATCCAAAATACAGCTGAGTAACAAGGCCTAGCAGTGACACACCCCATGCAGCTGCCTCCTGTTTTTCTCAGCTTTCCTGATCTCCCAGTTTGCAGAATCCTATTTGATATGGCAGAATGAAGCTCAAACTATATTTTCACACGGGAACAGTATCCTGCAAATTCACAAGACAGGCAGGCAAGAGCAATGCCAATCAAGATTAATACCGCCTTTCTATAAAACCAGAAACAATAATCTTACCTGTGTCACTGGGACGTTACGGAGCTAAACAAAGGCAAGCTTGCAGAGGCCAAAAGCTCCACAAATAGAAAGTTCTGACATTACATGTCCTTTGCCATTTGCTCTGCTGCCCCTGCCAGGCTCAGCATGAAGCTGCCAGACTTCGGAAAGATTTGGAAAGAAGCTGGCAAAAGAGCAGCTGCCATTTTCTACTCAGAGGCAAGTCCCCTGCCTTCTCTGCTTCTCTTTCAACATTGTTTACTTGTTAGATTTTAAACTTAAATCCTTTCCCATAATGACCTATAACCCTTTCAGCAGGACAGCATACTGTGCACTGGACAGAGGAAAATAAGCTTGGATACAGTAAAAAACCTGACCTTTTTCCTTAAAGAAAAAAGATCCCTTCTTCTAGTTTGCAAAATTTGCTGCAGCTTCTTTACTTCCTGATTCCAGGCAGCCTGGAAACGGAAACACTGAGGTCTGGGGAGAGGCTAAACTTTCAGAGTTTCCAACCCAAGGCAAGTTGAAAACAGGAATCATGCATGTATGCCGCCAGGAGAAGGGGAATAAACTCTGCCAAATAATTGCTAAGGCTGATGAGTCACCACAACAAACTCAGTAAGGGAGGGCCATAATTCTTCTGAACCGTTTACTACTACAGCTTCTGTCCTGATTTTCTAGTTGCTGTCATGAAAGGCAAGCAAAGTACATAAATTATTATTATAAAATGCTAAGAAGATCAAATTAGCTGCCAACAATCTAATTTTCTTCAAACCATACACAACATTAATGATGCGAGATCACTGCTTGAAAATGGCCAGCAGCCTACAGCTCCTAGCAAATGGCTAAAATTACAGGTTTATTGAAATGTGGAGGCGGATGTAATTAGTAGAAGCCTTTCTTTTCTACCCGTCACCTGCAATCAGATGGCATATCAGTTTTTTCTTAGGCCCTTGTCGATCACTTCAATGCCAGAGAGAAGATGCCCCCTACCTCCCCAGCATAATCAGACTTCACACTACCTTTGATACTGCTGTATTGCAGAGACAACACTCTCAGCGTGTAGCTGCACGTCTTGGGAAAACCGTAGTAGTTCTTTAAGCTGAGCCTTCAGCCTCTCAACCTTGGACTCTTCTGCGGCCAGAGCTGCTCTCGTTGCCTTAATCATAAAAATAATGAACAGATCACACCTTATGTAGTGTCTGGCACATGAAATGAAGATATAAGGCTGTCTCTCAGGGTATTCACAAGTCCCCTTTCTGCTGCCTTTTCCCCTGGTTGTAAGGAATATGGACTTCGCTAAGGCAGAAGAAAACATTCTCAGGAACAGTTTTGTTCCATCAGGCTTGCTCTCCTCTCCTCACACTGCGTAGCCTCTGCACCTGATCTGCAGTGTTCACTGTTTGAACAGAGTGAATCACAAACAGGCCCAGTTTCAGTTCACTGATTGCAGTATATAACATGAGATGCATTTCTGGAGTGGTCTTAACTGCATCTGTTTGCATGAACAGATCTTTCTCAAAGACTCACATATACAGAATGTTAATTCTAGGGTGACGTAGGGAAACAAAACCAACAAAAAACCATGCAAATGTAGCTGGATTAAACCAGTCTGTATTTTGCGGTTTCTTTTTGCATATACTTTTCCCAGCTAGTCCTGCTGAGTTCTAGACACACAAATAGCAATGAAAGGCATTTTGAGAAGAGATAATAAATGCAAAACCAGCCCTCAAAAGGAAATGAGTGATAAAGATTCTTATCCACTTTATGTGTGACAAACTTTTTGCACTCATTTTTGCAACAGATTGATTTTAGTGTAAATGCTGGATTGCTACAAACTTGGGACTTCTTAGGAATGAAGATGTCTCTGCTGGTAAAGGAATACAGGTACCCAGGTTACACAGATGAAGGATATAATATAGAAATGGTCTTACCAATACCCCAGAAATATATGTATTTGTGTGTGGGTATGTATGTATGTATTTGTGTATACAGTGAGGCATTATTTTCCTGCGTCTTTTTAAGTAGAGCAAATGGTGTTGTTCGCTCTGTATTGTGCTCTTTTTGCATATGGTCCCTTTGAACTCAAGACACAAACTCCAACATATCCTCCAACCCCGCTTCCTCTGTGTAGAGTGAGATTAAAGTTAGAATAGTTGATTCCATTGTTGCTATTCACATTTTCCTCAGTCTGTTTCATACACACTCATACTCTTTCCTTATCACCTTTAACCAATGGGACAGGCACCTGTTGGATGTGACTATGCGTGTTCAATATACGACTGCGCTCGATCCTGCTGGTTTTAGGCATACAAAGGTTAACAACTTACATTGCATTTTCTCCACAGAGTTACAAACTCATCTTCAGTCTTTTCCCCTTCCCCAGGGTCCAGGTCATTTTCTAGTCTCTGTAGATCTTTTCTCAACTCCTGGACATCTGCTTCTAATTGTCTGGCTTGGGACTTATAGGCACTTTCTGACTGTTGGATCTTGAGCAATCTCTCCTCCTCCTCACTGCTCAGCAGTTTCAACTTCTCCAAGGCTTTTTTTAGCTCTTCAAGTTCATCCTTCATTCTCTCAGCTCCAAGTGGGGAGGTATTCTGAATCACCTCTGCACACTGATTTTCAAGGTGCTTCCACTTCTTTCCACCACTCCTAATGTTTTTGGCAATTTCCTGCAGAAAGAAATTAAATAAAGATTAGCTGCAGGAATTGGAAGTTGGGGAAAAAGCTGCAAGCAGTAGGAAAAAAAGACCACCTCTCCTGGTTGTACATATTTTGTTCTTCACTTCTTATTTCAAAGTATGTCTCTTTTCAAGTGACCAGAAGCCAGGGTTGGTCATTTGACTGCCCTTTGAGTAATACTAACTGCTGTGTTTCTGAAAATACTGACTTGGTTTTCATCAATATTTGTCACCTGAGGTCCCTGACAAAGAAAACAGGAGCTGCAGGCACTAAGAAATACTAGTAGTCAGATCTCTGAGAGATTTAAAGCTAAACAGTTTAAGCAGTAGCACCAAAATATTGGATACTGTTCTCAGAACTGGTATTTTTATCACCAGCTTTAATCTCTCAAAACCTGTGAGCCTTCAGGCTCTATTTGGATCATGTTTACCATTCATTTAAACAAGTTTTAAGGGCAAGATTCTCAAAGAATCACATAACCATAGATCAGGCTTCAAGAAAAACAAAACAGACGAGCCTGTGACTCATTCTACAGCTGGAAGAACCATTATGTACTAATAGTTTTAGAACCTGATACAACTCTTCTCCCCTAGCCCATGTTTCGATCACCACCTTGCTTTGTTTGTGGAATTCTTTTCTCAAGTACACCCTTGTGTGGTTTGAGAAACATATACAGGCATGAAGAACACACAATCCTAGCTCCTTGTTAGAATTATATTGTTTAAGGACCTTCAGTGCCTTTAACTTGTCCTCTGCTGAAGACTTGGTTGCTTCTCCAATGCAGCAGTTTAATCTTTCTGTCACACCATTCAGCCACGATTGAAACTGGTTGACGTTAGCGCTGTACCGCTCATGCTCCTTGGTTATCTTTTCAAGCAGTTTCACTCTGCTCTGTAACAAGAGACATCAGAAGCCATAAGGACAGTGCTTATCTGGCTCTTTTTCCTTTACACTGTAACCCAGAATTTATAAACAAGAGTCCCTTTCTGTGAGCCCTGATAGCACTTGGCCTCCACAGGAATTCACCGTTCACCTCAAGAAACAGAACACAAAAGTACATCAAGGCTTGTCCCCATCTGGGTTGTGTTGCAGGCTCTTAGTGGCTAGCCTCCGAGGAGAAAAACTGCAAGGTCCTCTCAGGTGAATTTCTAGCCTCTCCTTTCCAAAATTTCCTATTCTCTCATTAGAAAAAGGAACGAGATAGAAGTCCATTTCTGGTTTTTACTTTGGGAGACAAGCAGTTATCTTCCCCGTGCTGGTTAAAAATAAAAGATGAGCACACAGCAGATTAACTTTGTCTATCTCTCAAAATGAGCATATGAGAGACTGTGCTAGGGGCATGCAAATTGTTTTAAAGTGTTCACTGTTTAAGCAGGCTGTACAGAAACTGACCATCACCTTCAATCGTATAGCCCAGGAACTTTCATACTTTTTCAATTAGGCAGATCACAAACTATCCTGTGGTGGTATCACAGACCCTGGAAGCAAATTTAAGCCTATGGGAAGAAAGCTTCATTTTCTGAGTTACTGTGTGAGCACCCTATAACCGACAATCCCCAAACTTACAGGGGCCTGCACATCATGAGTTGCTCCCAACTGATTCAGTCTGGCACGCCTCACAAGAAGGCAGAGTCACATTTGCTCAGACTATCCTTGTTTGTCAGCTGAAGTTTAGGCCTTCCTGAAGGAAATTTTACACAAATCACAAGGAATCCTGCTCTGTTGTTTCACTAGTATAATATCCAATTTAAGTGTTATTTCCTACAAAATCAGACTGATGTTTTCTTGCCCTTCACCAGTTGGCATGGAGGGCAAGTGAGGTATGCTATGGTTACATTAGAAAAAAAGTGTTCCTTGTGCAATCCATTCAGTGCTTGCAGCACCCTTGAAAGGCTTTGCTGTCACAGACAATGGGCTGAGTTTCATTTTGCGTAACATGGGACACATCCCACGCCTCTGAGCAGAGCTTCATCCCAGCTGCCCTCCACAGATAGTAGGGTAATAGCTGCAATGGTGGACAGAATTTCAAAGTACCCTCTGCATTTCCCTTGTCTCCGTGAGGCTCTGGGTATGTCCCAACACCCATCAACCTGCCTGAGGTGGCAGTGGGCCATCACCGTCCTGGCAGCCTTTCTCCAGCCAGGCCAGCAGAAGGGTGGCATAAGCATCAGTCACCGTGGGATCTCCCGTGTGCTGTGGGGCGGTGGTCCCTCTGGGACTTTGCCTTTCACCTTTGGGACAGGTTATGCCCACGGTGCAGTACAAAGCCACCACTCTCCAAGTGGCACCACACCAGTTTGTTTTCCACACTGCCACTGCAATCTCTGCTGAGTTGTGCAAATCAAGAGTGACTCCCCTAAAGTTAGTTGACTTGCTTTGGGACAAAACAGGGACAGCTAAGGAACAACTGCTTCCCATGGACGATGAAATGCTGCCCACTTATTAGGGCAGGACCTTTAATAGCACAACCTATGCAAACATGGGTTTGGATGAGACCAAAAAGCAGAATTATGACTGCAGACTTCTGTGGCCAAGATGTATCCAGGAGAACACCTCACTTGTTTGCTAAAACCCCTTGCCTTGATTCTCAAATCTTCAGAGGCGCATACAGGTTAAACGATTCTCATCTTGACCTTAGGGACTTGAAGAATGCAATCTTATAGCAGTGTAAGTGGGCTAAACATCGAAATGATACAAGTCAGTCCAAGCTTATTGATTTCAGGGAATTAGGCTAATTTGTTGCACTGACAGAAGCTCCAAAGGGAGCAAGTCAGAATAACAAAGCGGAGCTATTATTAAACTAGAAAGTCTTATGCTAATATACAGAAGGTTAAAAAGGAAGTTGAAATGACCCACCCCCAGCCAAGCTATTCAGCCTAAACAAAGGAACGCACAGTTTGGATACTCCTGCTGCTCTCCGAGGTCAAGGAAGAGATGCCATGGGTCTGGACAGGCTGTGCTAGCTGTCAAACAAAAGGCTTACAAAGAGCTGGCTGAGCGCTCCCCCAAGGGGTTAGGCAAGGAAACTTTCTAATGATGGAAAATACGGTATCACTTGCCTCTGTTAGGTTAGCTGTTCAGGGAGCAGGACAGCGTTAAACTCAATCTCCACATGCACTTGGATAAAGTGAGGAGACATTAAGCAAGAACATGGCCCTGGAAAGAGTGAGAGCACTGACAGGAAAAGAATACGTTTGCCATGGGCTGCAGAGGAAGAGACGGGGCTGGGCAGGATGTGCCGAGCCCTGGGTACTCAAAGAGGCATAGGAAACCCTCTCTCCTAAGCTCCCCTTACAGTCAGCAAAGGCAAATGAGCCTCCTCTGGAAGGTAATCTAGAGCACATGAAGGAAGTGCCTGCTTTAAGTCCCTCTGTGACATCTCGAGTAGAGTACAGAAAGTTCCTGTAGCCTTTCCTGGCACTTTTAGTCTTAGCTCTAGGGTATGTGAGGGTTGGCATTATAAATATTTAGGTTTCAGTTAACAGAGACAACACGGACTGAAATTCACCTGATGTGCTCCAACATATTTCATGTATTTGACTAAGTATCAACACACCGTGTGTCATAACTTTTCTTACCATCTTCAGTCATCATTTATGCTAAAACCCACAACCATCTACCTCTGCATATTGGTATTTTACTAGGAAAGGGAAAGCATGTAGGAAATGGCTGTCACATCTAAAAATATTCCTGTCAATGTAATTAAAAGAAAATAATGTGCTTTTAAAATGTGGGACACGTTAGCACTAAGAAAGAAAAAACCCCTACCATTTGCTCATACCAGAGAAGCAATGTCACAGGCAAACCGTTTAAGATACACTGTCCAAGAGTTTGCCTTCTGATAGAGCTGGACAACTGCACGGGATCTAAAAATGCTCTTCAAACACAAGTGTAATCTACAAACACCAGTGAGCCTCCTCTGGGAGGCAGCTCAGGCATGCAGCTGGCATCTGCAAGTCACATTCAGCCTGGCCTCTCATCATGTGAGGGGCCAGAGCAATCCCCTTACAACTCCTGCGTCTCTTTCATTCATTCCTCCCTCCTGTTGGAAGAGGTGGCGGGGTTTCTCTAACTAGTATTACACTTTCCATCACGATTCCCAAGGTGCCTGTAACCTTGGCATTAGCTAATGAACTCGGCGTTTACTTTAGTTGCAAAATCCAAGGCTTCCCAACTCCCTTCTTTGTTCCACACCTCCTGAAAGAGGGATTTCTTAGCTGCATTCTCTCATTCCATCCTTCTATGAAATGTGGTATTTGTAATCAATGCCAAAGAAAAGATCTTTCTAGCATTTCAGTTGGCCGGAGACATAAAGACATATTTTGCCTAAGTACTATGAGCCACTTCCTGATCTCATTTACAGCAGCATGTATCCAAGACAGTTAGAGAAATTAGAGTACGTAAAACCAGTTTGAGAGAGGTCCCATTCTGGCTTTGAGTATTCAAATTACTTGTTTCAAAGAACTGCCTTTTTAAAATACCTAATGACTGTCTCCTGCTTCAAAACCAAAGAAAAATCTTGGTTAGAAGGGAGTGAATGAGAATGTCAAATGTCTGCTGGTGGCTTTACAGCCTCTCTATGGCAGCTGCAGTTACAGAATTTCCAAACATACTCTGGTTTTTGGAGACACTTATTAGCAGTAGTTTTATCTTTATGGCTAAAAAATATCTGAATTTCATGCTCACGAAAGGTACCACCTTGGGGGTTTTTTTTGTTGTTTTGGGGTTCGGGGCATTTTTTTTTTAAATGGAAAAAGTATCTGTAGAGCAAGCAGAGCAATGGCATAAGCATCCCAGTGTTGCTGTTCCAGTGTGATCTTAAGTTAGCTTTGTACAACATCACCCAGGGAGGCAGAGCACACATCACTGTCAGGCTCCAGTTCTGGACTGCGGTGTAGGTATGGGAACAAATAGAAGGCAACATTATGACAGAGGCTGATAGCAGAACCAATGTAATGAAAATTATTTGTATTTGCACCAGGTAATTCCAGCCTATGGAACTCCTGGAAGCCACTGTGAGACAAAGACTAGATTTTAATCTCTATATGCTTGGGATAGATGTATCTATATATATTTCAAATATCCCTTTGAGTACTTCTATTGATATAGGCTAGTAAGAAACTGCATTCTTTTCCCCTTCAGCCATGCCACAGGGCCCAATCCTGTCTTTACCTGAGTTTTAGAAGTGAAAAGTATGAACCTTATCTGAAATCTTTACCTGGGAATAGGGTCAAAGGAAATCACTGGCATTGAAAGATGAACTAAGATGTCCTACACAAGCCTATCTAACAACTGTTCAAGCTGGAAGATCAGCATCAGGCAAGTATTAGTATCTGTGTGCAGTGAAAATCTTTCAGATACTGGAACTGGCTAGTTGAGCTCAGTGCTGGGCCACAGCTGACTCCCACCTCCGTGTTTCCCAGTTCTGCAGGCAGGGAGTGCAGCTCTGGATCTGGACAAATGCTACTTCCTGCAACAAGGGTGCATGCATGTAATATTCCCTGGCTCTGGGAACAGGTACTTTGCACCTGGTTATACAAGGATCACTAATGTGCTGAAAGACAAGGAACAATTCAAACTTTATACAGAGATGACCTAAGCCAATATTCACTAGGTCACAGCAAGCAGTTTGCAGTTACTTTACAACAACATACTATAAAGCGCAGTGTAAGAGCATCCCAATTAAAAGCTTATCTTGGGACATGATGACTGTTGCAAACAGTCCACTGACTGAAAGAACGGGTCCTCAGCTCTGTTTCTTTTTGCCATCCTACCAGGTAAGGCCCATCACTCAAGAAGCAGATAGCAAACAATACTGTATATTGGTGAAATCTGAACACCTCCCACTCTTTATAGGTGTACCTGAGCTTCTTCCCTGATTCCTTCATATTCCACCCTCATTTTCTTCTGAACATCCTCATCAACGCTGGGGTCACCTATCCTGCTGAACAAGGAAGCAGCTTCCTCTAGCAGTCTTTCCAGCAGGACTGACTGATTTAAGACATCATTCAGCAGAACCTGAGCATGGCTCAGCTGCCACTGCTTCTCCTTTAAACCAAGCTGCAACTCAATGTCAGGCTCCAAGGTCACCCTCATGTTGTGAATCCACGCGTAAAACTCATCTTGGGCTTTCAGGTACTCACTCCAGTGCAGCCAGACCCACTCAATACGGCTGTTGGGGAGAGCAAGAGAGATGAGTTAGATGAAATTATGGTGGGAGCAGTGGAGACTGGCAAGCTCAAAAGCCTTCAGAGCAAAGGACAAGGTTCTCAGCCATTTTAAGCTGCTCTGACTTCAGAGGGTCCGGATTCACTTCCAGGTCCTCCCTGCTCTGGGGAGGAAATATTCTGTACAATGTCCTTGTGCCTGGCCAAACTCATCATTCCAGACCATGAGGTGGGCTGGGTTGTGAAGGCAGAGAGCACTGAGGTCCCACTGACCCTCTCTCCCCACACAGTCCCCGACATGCTTATGGGACTGGGATTAGCAATGATTGCTATCTACAATCCAGGCAGCAGAGAGAGGCAGGAAACACTTCATGAAAGCACTGGATGAGACAACTGCCTCAACACACCAAATAGCAGTCTTGTGCAAAAAGTACATTTGTCTTACCTGTGACAGTGAGTAATGTATATGGCTGTCTCTTCCCACAAGGCTTTAATGTCTTTCAGTTTAGATAGTACCTCATGCTTCTTATCCTCACTGATGCTGCGAAGAGCAGCATCTGCCTTCACAAGAATCAAGTCCATTTTCAAGCTGCCTTCTGGTTCCAGCGCACGTATTTTCTATGAGAAAAACAAATGAGACTGAAAGCATGAAAAGAAAGCAAGTATAATTGATGAAATTTAAACTTTGTTTTTACCCAGGAATCATGAAGTCCCTGCTGCAAAGCTTCTCCTGGTAGGAAAATATGAACTTTTCTTCAGACTTGTTTATTCCTAAACATCCTAAAGGACTGAATTTAACTGAAAACCACACAGCAGTTGAAAAACATTTAAGTTAGCTACAAAAACCAGATCATCTTCTATCAAATATCTGAGGCTGTGTTTCCACTGCTGTTATAAAGTTATAGCACTACATTGCCACATGCCAGTTGCTCTCCCCACCTGCCAAAGAGCGTAGAGGCAATCTCCACAGGGTACACTGTACCATCTCAATTTTAAGCTCTACTATAAGAAATTATGAAGCATATTAAAAAGGCTTCCTACTGCAAATAGAAGTTGACTCAGAAAACAAGCCAAGAGAAATTAACTAGTGGAATTTTCTGCTTGCTACCAAATTTTGCTTTGACCCTAAATTGGTAAGTTATGAATTGGTGAAAACGTGTATCTTGCACAAATCAGAATGCCAGGAACTGAAAGTTAAGCCATCTGATTTTAAGTAGGCTCTCTTCCTCTACCCAGAGATGGAAAATCAGCACAAGTTCTATATAATGTAACAGAATAATTACGTCCCAATTTGGATGTCAGCTTTCAGCATCACTTTATCCAAACTTCTGATACCACCCGATTAGCTTTTCTTGCTGTTATTCCACAAACTCCTGGCAAACTGCAGGCTTTCAAGTTTCAAGGAAAAGGCTTCTATAATGAAAACACTGAGAGGTTCAGAATCAGCAACTACTTTTGGACAGATTAGGCCTGGGGGATTTGTTCAAAAAAATCACAGCACTTATTGCAAAGGTGAAACCAAATCACAGGCCTTCGGATTTCCAGTGTCACATTCTGGGAAAAGACTGTTCTTTTGGCATGTACACAGCACATCTGCATGTGATGTAAAAACAGGTGTTGGGGCGAACTATCTGCTACAAAAAGTGTGATTAAAAGAATCTAGGAAAGCAGGGCAAAGGGTAGGGCAGAGATAAAAAATAAAAGCCATAGCTATCACCTGACAGGAAAAATTTAAGAGTAAAGCTGTATTCTAAGCCTGACATTTTTCCAGCAAGTGAAAGCAAACAACAGCTGGAGAGAAAGCAGTGGCTGTACAGGCATTTTTCTTCTTCAAATCTGTTTTTTAAATGATTGGTATCTTTGGCTGGCATTTTGATTAACAAATTAACCGAAAATAAACCACAGGAAGGAAGCATGAAAAAAAGGCAAGCCAGATGCAAAAGAGGAGCTGAAAAATGATCACTGGATTTGAAAACAGCCAATAGGTGAAGCAGCAAGCATATCACAAGGACATGTGAGCTGGACATGGAAGCCAGGCCCAGAAAGGAGGCAGGATGAGGGAGCAGGAGGTGAATAAGGCACACACAGGAGGAGAGAACAGACACTTGTTATTCTTTAGAATGATGAATTTCCAAAGTCTGAATTGAAAAAATCTTCTAACATCATTTTTTGCATGTTATAGACCTCCTCCAAAGCCCACAGAAGTCAACAGGCTTCAGTTCAGGCCATATTAAATCACCACAAACCATTAAACCTTACATCTTGTTATCTCTGCCATGAATGCACTTCCTTTACCAAACTACTACTCCCCCTACTGAAGTTTCTGTGTTTCTTGCATGTTTTTTGAGACTGTACATATCATAGTTTCCCAGACAAAAGGAAAGGGTGAAAATAATTTAAGGGCAGAAATAAATCTATAGACCAAGAGGAAATACTTCAGATTTTCATGACTGACATGCAACTCCAGCCATCATCCATCATGCCATGAACAGTCTCTATATTATGCCAGAGCCAAGATCCAGCCTCCAATGGGCCACAATTAAGGAAAAAGGCTGAAGACATTGCTGTACCATCATGCAAACTACCTTGTCCTCCATGTAAGCCTGCAATGTTTTTTGGGTTTTTTTTGAGTTGTTAAACTTTAGAAAAGGCAGTCCAAACATGAGTAGACACACAAAAAGAAAGACATTTGGGTAAATAATGATGGGAAAGATTTGGCTATTTAAAGAACAGACTAGTTGGAATTAAAGATAATACAATTATAAAAATAGTTTCAATGTTAATCATAGAAATACCACCAATCCCTCTAATCATGAATGGTAGAGATGGGACAAACAGCTGTGTTTCATTCTCTGAGATTACAAGAACAAGATAACATCTAGTGAAACTGAAGTTAATTAATGTGAAATCACAGTAAGAGAGCAGGCACAATCTGCAACAGGATCTCTGTGAGAAGAGTTATACAAGAGATTAAGTAAGACCAGAAAAAAATGAAAACATTTACCTTTTCATTAGCCAGATTACAAAGGGGAGCTGTAAACTCTCTTAGCATCAGGGTTTATGGAAAAGGACAAGGGGATTACTCTGAAACAGCCCATTACTAGGACACTGCAATCTTTCTCTGTCAGTGCTGGAGTTCTGCAGGAGATGGAACACTAACGTGATCTGACTCTCTCGTACTACACGCTGGGCTTCTGCAAATCACTATCTGGTAACTGCAAGCAGGGACTCAATTGTTTCAGGTTTGAGCATGCTCATAGGAGAGTTTAAACACTTTAGCCTGCCAAACCTGCTGCTAGTCTTCCAAATCAATCTGAAAAGCTTGGAAGCCTTTGATATCAAATTGCCATCCTCTCCTTCTATGTCTGTAAACATTTTGCAGGTGGAAAAACTAGGAAGAATACTGACGTAAACCCATCCACACAGGACCAATATTCCAGCAAGCAGGGGCAGCTGACAGTTTCCTAATGGAAAACTCCAGAGCTCACAGCAATAACTGCTGTAACAATGGCAGCAGTGACAGCCGCCTGTGAACTGCTACATCACTCTTCCCTTACCTCAGTCTCTCTCAGTCTGGCTTCTAGGGCAGATCGAGGTCCCTTGGTGTTGTCATTGATCCTCAGTCTCTCTTGGATGGCCTTCATCCAAGCTTCTGCATTCTCCACACTACTGTCAAATTCATCCTGTAGCTGCTGAGTCATTGCATTCAAAGAAGCTGAAAGCATAAGAAACAGGGAAGTAGGTAGGTTTAGTTAAGACCTAAACAAGAATGCATTCAAGGCAATCTAAAGGAGCAAGGGAGAAAAGCTAATGATGTTGTGGCTTTCCTTTTTAACGATAATACCGAAAAATGTAGCAGTATCATGAGTCAGTTGAGCACAGAAAACATATTCACAGTGCAGCTTTCCCAAATGAAAATATACCAGGAAACAAAAAGAAGGTGGGGAACTGTGGGAGGGTCCATTACAGTAAACAGATTTAATTCAAAGCTTTCAAATTAGATTAATCTGGTGTTTGTGGTGTATTCCAGACTGGCTACACCAATCACAAACACTTTCTGTTTCTTCCCAGAGCCTAGTTAGTACAGAACTCTCCCTATGCCTTTCCAGGCTCATGTACTGAGCACCAAGCACCAGACTAGCAGAGCACTTCACCACATACTTCATTTAGAGGTATATAAACCCTTTAAAGCTGGTGAGATCAGGATCAGATGCTTAGGCCCTCAGTTAACTTGTTCTGCTGAGACCATGGAGAGGTTATCCAAATGCACATGCAGTGAGTCTGGGATACAGAGACAACAGGAATTGGCCAGCAACTGTCAAGACAAACTACTCATAAGCCATCACACGGGAATATCAACACTGATGGATTTCTTCTTTTGCCACCTCTTATATTCCATACCAGGCTTCAAGTTTTTAATTTCCCCTTCCTCTCTCGTTGCCCCCTCCCAATCAGCAGAAGGGTATGATGGTTGGTTGCTCTTTTGATGTGCCCTTGTGTCTTCTCTGTTCAGAGCATAAGCTCTCTGCTGCTCAGATGGCCTCCTTTGTGCCTGTACAATAGAGGAAAGCCATCCTATGCTCACCCTTAGGCACTGCTGTACTAACTTGACTAATAAGGATGAACCATAACAAAGCCCCCTGTAGGTCAGCTCTGCTGCTGAAGTGAACAGAAAGATAGCTATTGACATTAAATGGGTTTGGATCACATCCTGCAACTACTGCCAGCCAAGCAGTCAGTGTCTCTTGTGAATTAAAATATTCCTCTTTGTTATTCATCACTGAAATATTTTTGCAGCATGAAGTTTGAGGCTTAATTACTGAACCCAAGTTTGTCGCACAGAATTCAGTTCCACAGCAGCACCCTCAGTTTCCATGAAACAAGTCATGTGGAAGAAAGTGCTTGGTGCGAGAGGCAGAGCACGGCTCTTGGGGAAGCTGGACCAGTGGTGTTTTGTAACCACTTTAACTCTTGGCAGCTTAGTGTTTACAAAGGGAGAGCCGTCCTTCTTCTGCTCACTGGCAGAAAGCTCCCCACCATCCTGCCCCTGTTCCTGTTCATGAGGTAAAAGGATTTATGCAATATTAGATGTCCTCCCCTGTAGCTCCCACTGCATTTTCTTCTACATTAGACCAGAAGAAACAAGACATTAGTGTTCACAACACTGATGTCTGGCAACAGAAACAGTCTAAATTGTTGCTTCCCAGCCTTCAGCGGACTTTATGCCCAACAGGTCCCAGAAGAGAGTGAGAGAACCGCACCTACAGAGCAGCTACTGTACTACCCACAGGGATTACTGGAGCAGAGGATGGGTCAGACCCCCCTGTGCAGACAAGCGGAGCTGCATTTGCATGGAAGATGGAATTCCTCCCTAAGTGAGAGATGTCAGACAGGGCAGAATCCAAAACTGTAACCCTCAGAGCTAGAAGGCAGTTTAAAAAAGTGTGACCTCACCTTGAAAAGATTAAAGAATAAAACAGGATGTACTGGATTTAGTGAGGGTGGTGTGGCACAGGGCAGCTACTCCCTCTCTCAAATATAAAATATATGACAGGATATATAATTAAAGCTAAAATCATTGACTTGCATCACAAGAGTCTTAAGGATGAAGCTAGCTAAAGGGGTAATGTTATTCTCAGTGGATTGCTAGATAGCTCTGTCCTTCTCCAACTATGACTGGTCCAGAACTGACGTTTCTGAACTATAATAACCCAACTCTCAGAAAAGAGTACACATTTTTCTGTAGCTGACTGATCAACTCATTTTCACATTAACATTTCTCATTGTATCTGGCAGTGGTAGAGGGACTGTCCCCTAAAACCTCCCTTGTTACATACATACATTTCTAGGCAAATAGTTTCTGAATGCACGAGTGTAAGCTGTGGTGATTCCAGTTATGCTATTGTGAAACAAAAACTCACGGTACATTTGCTGGATAGACTCTGATGAGGAGCGGCATTCATTTCCTAGGAGAGGTGTCTATTCCTGGCAACATCCATATCAAATTTAAAATTGGCTTCAGGACTCCAGTCATGGAGTAGCCAATACGGAACATTACGTTATCCTAGTCCTATTTCTTACAAGAAGTAGAGGGCAATGAAACATGGTTAAGAAGCAGCGGAAAACCTACTGTCATCTAACATGAAGAAAACCCCACTCACACTCTGCCCTCATGCCGCTTTCCTCTAAGCACAAGGATTTTCTGTCCAAACCCACAGATACAGAGACCCCCATCCCACATACAGGTGTTCCATGTAAGCAGCCAACGCAGGAAGCCATGAAAAATGTTATTTCAATGTTAAGATCACCAGTCTGCAACGGAAGATAAATACTTTGCTACTCCAACTGCCTGCATAACATCATTGACTGATTTTGACCAAGTAATTCCTACACCTAGCACCATAAAGATGATTAAATTTAGCATGGACTCTGACCCAATGCCCAGGCGGATTTCATGGTAGTTATGACCTGCAATACCTGACATGGATCTGGGCTGCCTCTTGAGACTGACTGTGTCCTGTCCTCCCTCCTTCCTCCAGGCCAGGCAGCCAGACCCTGACTGAAGCAATCAGCTGCAGTGTCCTGGAGTCTTTTGTTCTGGAACCCGCTCCCCCTTCCCAGGCACTAAAGGCATGGGTTGATATCTGCAAGGAAAAAGTATGTTTTCTGACTTATTGTCTGCTTGGGAGGAAGAACAGCTGTTGACTATCTGAAATTTAGCAATATCTGTAATTTCTCTGCAAACGCTCCTAAAGCTGGGATAAATTATTATTGGATAAGTGTTAATGAATCAACAGTATCTAACCTATTTCTGCTGCATCACTGGGGCTAAATGACTGAGCAATACTGGACATGAAATACAGGGCTGTGATCAGTACAAGAAATACAAAGGAGACATAGCAGCTCCTGGAACAGACCTGAGCTGTTCAGCTGTGCAAAGCCAGCATTCACAGACCAACCTGCAACAGCAGCAGACCATTAGGGCCACTTGTACCGTGGTGCGACAGCCCCTGTCCCAGGCCACAGGCTCAGTCGCTAGGACCCACTGTGCCACGAAAAGCCTCCCCTTAATCACAGGTGCGATCCTCTGAGCAATTTGTACAAAATTATTTTTATCATAGTCATTTTCACATGCATGTAGCTGTTCCAAACAGCTTTTCATTTTAATGCCACTTGAGTCAGTATATTAATTCATACCATGGAAGGCATATTTATACTGCAGAAAGCGTTTAGCATCTCTATACATATGTTACTAAATAAGGGTAATAACTACACATAAGAAATTCTGGCATAGATAATGAGATGCTGAGCAAAACCAAGTTTTATTTGCCCAAATGCAATAACACAGTTACTTATTAGAGGTAAGGAAGAAGCATATTTCAGGGTGCTGAACATAACTGACTCAGGACAGCTCCTGCAGCATGTCCAGAGGTTATAGAAAGCACGTTTCAGGAACAGGGAAATGTGAAACACAGGTAAGCTCCAGAATCCTTTAGCTGAACCTCTCCCACAACACTGGTCTTCCTACCTTCTCTGAATCAAACCTCCATGGCCCCCAACACAGTGGTTGGCAGTGTCTGAGTAGGCACACGTGTTTCAGTGCCACAGAGGGCACGATGCCTCAGCCCTTGCCCCGTTGCTCTGCCAGACCCACTGCACACCCACAGCACAAGCCGGGCTTGTACTGGATGCCTGCGGCTTGGCTACCACACATGGGACATCTGTACCTTTGGTAGAGGGAAAGGTGAACTCCTGTGGCAACACACCCCCAACTCAAGTCAGCATCACTCCTCTCCCCCTCTCTCACCCAGGCACAAAGCCATTTAGCAAGGAGGGAAGTCGGAGGACTGTAACCCACCACCTGTTCCCAAGCTCCCCGAGGAGAAGGGGCAGCTGGCAGGGTGCTGGGGACACAGGCACTGCCCCCCTAGCTTGCCCACGAGCCACAGGCTGAATACCCCAACATGAATTAATGAGATCCAAAGCAACAGCAGCTGGGTTTTGCTTATAAAATCTGCTCAGCTCCTGAGCTGTGCCTCATCTGTGTTGGGCTGGGCTGAAGAGGTACAGAGGCAGCCTTGTATCAGCTGCGGTCTTGGAGCCATCCCACTGAAAGAACGGATAAATTAATTAGCTGACCGCTCTGCATTATAGCTCTTGGAGCCACTACATGGTAGCAGCACCACTGAGGGACACGGAGGTGCCTGGGTCTCCACGGCAGACCCTGACACAGTGAAACGCACAGGTCATCCTCTACGTGATCCACTAGCACTCACAGAGCCAAATTTCTGCAAGCACTTCTTCCTCAAGTACAGCTACTTCAGCAATCTTTCTAGTGCATCTAATAACTCTCACAAGGCTATTGCGAGATTTACTTATTTAATATTTTTAATGCACTACTGAGAGCTTTTAAAGGTATTTTGCAAGTGCAGTATCTTTTTGTTAGAATTATCCTATTATTTTGCAATGTTTCCTAACATACTATTTTATCTCTGCCAAGTCATGCTGCTTTTTTTTTTTAAAAAAAACCAACAAACTTCTTAAAACATTTCTCACAACCACTCCCATTTTACACATTCTTTTAAACCCTACATTTACAGAACACAGGCTTTTAAATGGCTTCAATATGTCTTGGAATCCTATATCCGTGTACTACTTGAATAGTTTCCAGAACCCAGTTCTTACAAAAATAAAAGTACAAAAAATGCTCCAGGAAATTCAAATCACTCACCATTAGGGAAACCGTTTTCCGATTATGGAAATACTTCAAACTTTTCATAACCCTTTCCATTTGGTTCTGGGATTGAATGTGAAAAAAAAAAATATTTTAAACAAACCCACTGGACTGTGTCAAATTTTATACAAATGCATGAGTGTGGAAGCAATTTTGGTTCTGGGAATTGTATCTGGGATAATTTAATAACTTTTCACCTTCCCTTGATATGGTAAAGAGAGCTCTGACCCTGTCTGCTTCAGGCTGGAGCGGAGGGTCAGTCATTGGCACAGATCACAGAGAGGCAAAGCACTGACTGTTGTCTTTCCACAGCTGACTATTCTTGGTCTACTCCAGGAGGAGCTATTTTGCATCGCGTTATTAGCTGATGCTTTACCAGGCGAGAGACTGAAAGCCTCCGGGGTAGCCACACCCAGGTAGAGCTGAGTTAAACTGCCTGAGTAGGTGCAGAAGCCCTCCAGGTTTCAAATAAAAGGTGTCGTTACTTCCAGCATAGTCTTTTAGAGGCTCAACACGTTAATCCTATCACCTTGGCCATCTTCCAACAGAGCCCTTTCCTGTGCTATTTGCAGTGAATGTTTATGACAGTCAGCGATTGTTTGCCCTAATTAATGAGCTAGAGAATAAATAGTTTTTTGGAATAAACACATCCATATCCTAGTTACAAGCATTCCCTTCAACCAAGGAATGCGAACATCATGAGTACATACAGCACTCGTGCATATCATAACCATTTCCTTTCCCTTACAAAACCATTCCTAGGAAGCCTATGGCTAACGCAAGACGTTCTGCCACAACATGATCACACCTGACAATTTTCTATTTGATACAAAAAACTGAAAAGCAGAGACATGTTCTGTGCAAGCTAACTCTCAAAAAAGCCTGATTTTGTTTTCAATCATTTGTTTAAAGATTAATTTCAGACTTTGGTGACAGCCAGTGCAAATGGCCTATCTTTTTGTTTTCTAAGACTGCTGTGGAAAACATGTAATTCCCAGGTCTAAAAAGCCATTTCCTAAAAAAAGGGATTGAAATTTTAAAATAATTCTATACCTGAATGGAATCATCATGTGCAAGTAAGGCAGAGTTGGGTCCTGGGGCTATCTTCCCTTTTAGTATCAGGAATGACAATCAGTAGATCTGACCACAGCACTTTTATATTTCAATCTTCAAGTCATTTGGAAGTAAAAAGTATAGGTGAGGACTCTATTACAAATGTCTCCCCACTCCATACACTCCACACACACAGCCGGTCTATCATGATTCAATTAGGTAAGTAAAATGCAGGTTTTAGTACTGATCCAGAATTCCTTTTTGCCACCAAGGAGACAGAGTATCTATATTAGATATCTGTCTGATTTAGATTTTGATCTTCTATCCCCACATTATTGAGGTATTAAACAATCTTTAGAGCATTTATTCACTCAGCCCCCCTGGGGAGTAAGGCTATCTCTAACCCCTTTATAGATTAACACCTCATCTTCAAAGGCACTTTGTTTCTTGCCTCTAGGCAAGAAGGAAATACTTGAAAGGACAAGAACAAAATTGATAATTCAGTTAAACACTGCAGAGAGTGATTTTCAACCTTTTCTAATATGTACCCTTTCAAGTATCTCTACAGAGATGCAGATCTCTGTTTAGGGACTTTAAACTTAATGACAAGAGACTTCCTAATTACCATTCACAGACTCTTTTGTCTGGGAAATCACAGCTTAAACACCTCTGCTCTACAACTTCAGCAGAGATTCTTCAGATCCAGGGAATCTGCTTCAGAAATTGGCCCGGAAAGGTACCTGTGGGCTTACCAGCAATCTACAGCTTGTGAACTTGTCCCCAGCTGCTGAAGTAGGCTAGGTTTCAGCTTTGCTCAGCTCCCTAAGAGTTTTACCATCAGTCAGCCAATGAAAAAGCACTGCAAGCCAATGGCGCATTAGTCTCACAGTCTCTGGAGGCTTGAATTTATGTATTTAATTATCTCCCACTTGTCCTCCACAGACTGGATGATGCCTCAGTACCGGGTGCCAGTCACAGCACTGATACACTGACTAATAAACCTCTGAGGTATCTGCCTCTTGGCTAGAGATCAGTGAATAATTCAGAGTGAATAATATATCTGATAAATCGTTCCTCTTTTGCTGGTCATAAATTGTGTACAGACAATCTCATTTTCTCAAAGGTGTGGTTATTCCTAACTATTTGCCAAATATATTCTGCAAATTAGTTTTGCTCTGTAGACTATCCCCAAGTAATTCTTCCTTGCGATTCTTAATACCGCAGCTGCGCTGCTTAATTTTGGTTTGGCATCACAACCCTAGTAAGAAATTGTCCATCTTCCCCGGCTGGCTGGCAGCAGCTCTTCTCGTTTGTGTGCAGTTTGTCACACGGTGACTCCCGAGGGCCATTTTCATAATCAGGACCCCAATGTGTTAATCTGCGTACAAAGAGTGCACTTTCACAGCACCTTGCGGTGAGCAGAAGTGCCCTACAGTTAAAAGGATAATACCTCTGTCCCAAGGAGATTACAGATGGCATGTCAGAAGGGTTCAGCAATGAAAGCAAGGTGTCAGTGTGCGCTTAGGGACACGGGGAGGTGGAATGCAGAAAGGGCCGTTAGAGACTGCAGCTGCATTTCCAGTGCTCTATGCAAGCTGTGGTGGTTCCACCACCCATGTCCTCCGCCCACCCCCTGAAGCCAGAGATACTAAGAGATCCTCAAGCCCTGCTAAAGCACGTGGCGTCAGCTTGGTGTCTGCAAACACGCTGGGACTCAGAAGTGTGTCTCTCACCAGGAGAGAGGATTCATTGCAATGGACCTCAGGCTGTCGGTGGGACACCTTGAGCTAGGAGCCCTGCGATTCCCTGGGGAGTCAGTGCGAGAGAGGGGCACTTCCAAGCAAGGATCCATGCCAG